GTTCCCCACCCTGATTTAGATAAATGATCTTTGGAATGAAAAATCTTAACTTTGTGGTATATGATATGCCTTCTACCACTTCAGCTTGGCCTGTTAGGGTGGATCATGACATACTGACATGGTCAAGAAATAAAAAAGTCCTTATGTGCCTTTGAAGTTGTAAGTCACAGAGATTCTAGGAACAGAAGAAAAATGAAAAAAGAGTCTGTTAGCACTTTTCTGACTAATTTATAAGCCTATTTCTTTTAATAATATGTTAGTCAGAAAAAGTCCTAGCAGACTCCTGATTTTTTGCCACCATAGACACACAGTTCTCTTCCTATAATATCAGGAACAAGAAGCAGGATTAACAAATATATAAAAACACACTAACATAAACACAAACAGTATTTATCTACTGTCCCCATTTATTTACTTTCTCTAGTGTATGTAAGTTGTCAGTAATTAAAGTGACAAAAAGCTAAATGGAAACCTTGTTCTAGATCCCTGACAACTGCAAGTATATACTTCTATTCAAAAACCCAGGCACAAATATTTTGCTAATACTCTCCTGAGTAATTTATCTTTTGATTCATCCAAACAGACATTCATCCAAGTAGACAGTTCTCCTCCCATCGGTGACACTTGCCATGGAACAATGCCACCTGTTTAATATTTCAAATATACAAATATTTCAATAAAATATTTCTGCCGCAGATCTGATAGGATTGCCTAAATAAACACTGATCAAAGTCAGCATCATGACATAGGTTTGGTTCTTATTTATTTATTTATCTGTTTATATTTCTTTTTTTTTTTTCTTAACTGCCCATTTCCCTCTTCTTAATAGAAAAGTGTTCTCCTATCAGTCTTATCAGGTAGACCAGGCAGGAAACATGGCCAGATAAACTAATTCTACTTCATTGTAACACAGTGCTAACAGAATCATGCAAGTCTGAAAGTACAATGTTCTCGCTATCACTTTTACAGTGCAATTACTCAGGGAAGATCCCTCCAGAGTCCGTCCATTGTGCAGCTGTGGCCTATATGCTCTCTTATCTGACTGTTCCCTAAGCAGCATCTCTTCACTCAGTCTCTAAGGTAATTCCAAATATCTTTACAAATTTCTCTTGTTCATGTTTGGAGCAAAAGATTTGAAGCAAAAATGCATGCAAGTTATTTAGGCTGAAGCCCCATGCATATTTATCTGAAAATAAGTCTAGATGAAGCGAATGTTCCAGGTAGACACAATAAAATTGCTTGTCAAGCATCATATTTCAATTGTTAAAAAAAAAGGTTATCTTTAGGTTATAATAGGTTATCTCCATGAATCCCAGGAGGGACAGAAAGGCCTTCAATAAAGCAAGTATAAGTTTTTAAAGACATTTTCAGATTTATCAATTATCCTCTTTACAAAAATTCCATGGAAAAAATTGTACAAAATTGGGAAGACAGATATAGAAACACAGGGCCCTCACACAGTAAGCACAATCTTCAAATTGACTACTTCAGAATAGATTTCAGCAGTGCTTACCTAAATAAAAAAATGGGAAAAAATTAATAAAATAAAAGGAAAGGGTACCTTTTAAAAAAAAACAGCTGGGAAGCTTTCAGAAACATAAGCAAGAAACAGAGCTGTTCCAGTAAGTCCAAACCATCAGAAAATAGTCACAAACATTAAATGGAAAGAATAATTAATAGAGAAATGTGAAATTATTTTTTCATTAGAAATGGCCTTTGCCATGGAATTTCATGCTTGCATTTCATACAATCAAACAAATGTTTGACTTAAAGTATTGTTTTAACTAATAGGCAATAGCAAGCTGTATGATCTAATGCGAGACATCAACATTCCACCTAAATTCAGGAATATTTGCTGTGTCTATGTGATGTGGTTGGACTATATTGAGATGGATACTGTATCTTCTGGTTGACATTACTCAATGATTATGACTTTGCGCTCTCTCTAATTTTTAATCCTTATAGCATCTTTCAACTCAAAACATTTCTCATCTACAGTATGAGTCAAGCTACACAGAGAACAAGATCACATGACCTTTTTCCTGGATTACATCTATTTCTATTTCTTATTTCTAATTCATATTGGAGGACTAAATGTGTCAAGGCTGTCTTATATTTAAAAAGCAAAGCCCATGTCTTTAATGCATGTAAAGATGAAGGCTGGCCTGGTGAGAACTTGTGGTAGCCATTAAGTAGGCAAGTCAAAACTACCTCAGTTCAAAGCCATCAAGCACTATGCCAAGTAGCTATTAATTCAAAACAGCAGGAGAACGAAGTCTAAAGTTTAAAACTTTAGAACACTGTAAAATTTCTGACATCAATTTTGGGAAAGGCTTCATTCTTAACTATAAAAATGATTTTAATCTTGTTGAGCTGCACTGTGAGTTTTCTGCCAAGCCAAGCCAAGAACTGAACTTACAGGAGAAATGTCAGCAGATCAATGATTTAATGCTAAGCTCAGATATGATGGGTGACAACATTTGCCTTCTACTTGATCACTGGTCTGACTAGCTTAGTTTTGTTTACAGTGTCTTCACTGGGCAGCCATTTTGTCTCCAAGAATCTTTTCCATCATTCTTCAAATGGAGACTGAATTTGGAACCATTTGGTATAAAACATGTACTCTACACTAAATGATGGCCCAATGTTGGCATATCTGATTGAAGATTTGGAAATCTTGGATCCTGTCTTCCTGACACTCCTCTTCCACATGTGCAGGTTGCATGCACACATGCATGCACCCCCAGATCCTTCAACAGAGCCATGTGCTAAGTATGGACCATAATATTTTAAAATTAAGTGAATAGCCCAAATTCATTTGAATTGGTATGACAGGATGGACAGAACTGTATCATGTTTTTTTCACTGCTTTTCTTCATTAATCTGCATGTTAAAATCTACTCATGAACAAATATGTTTTAAAAACTCATAATTTGAAATGTACGCTTTTACACATTTCTAAATAAAATGCTTTCAGAACACTAAATGTATTCTTTGATAAAAGAGAAACTTCTAATTTTGTACTTAGCATAGATCTTTGAATGTATCACAATATTTTTGAAAAATTATCAGAATAGCTAACTCTGCACCAATCTACACATTCTTCTGAGAAAAAGGGAATCAACTCAGCTCACAAGCACTCTTTTCAAATATATGCCACACTTGTTTCCTTCGTATTTGTTGACAACAATGTTCCTGTGTCAGCTTTCCAATCTCTTCCACAAATCTTGGACCTCCTTTCTCTGTAAACAGATTTTCTTAATTACAGTTGACTCTGCCTTTGCCCAACAAATGGGTCAAATTAAATGCCAGTGATACAATTTTCAGATGCATTGCACAAAGTAACAGCTAATTAAATTGGGAATTTTATGACAAGTAGAAATTTCTAATTATGGATAAGAGAGATCTATTGGAAAGTTACTGATTTTTTTCTTTAGTTATTGATTGCATATATCAATCCTCACCAATGCTACATTGTTTGGTTTAAGATAAAGCTCATGGAAATTTTCTGTGCCTTGTTTCTTCAGGAAACTTTATGACAATTAACCTCAACTGCACAATAGTTTTAGACACAGTCACAGTGAAGTGACTGGCTGAATTAGCAGTCACTTGTTGATATGGATGGCTATAGAAATCAAATAAATAAATAACCAACCAGAATGTGCATTGTTTACTTTGCACTTAGCACAAAATCAAACCAGGCCAACATAGTTTGTTAAAGATATAGCAATAGCACTTAGACTTATATACCACTTCATAGTGCTTTACAACTCTGTCTAACAGGTTTAGAGTTAGCATATTGCCCCCAACAATTTGGATCCTCATTTTACCGACCTCGGAGGGACTGAAGGCTGAGTCAACCTTGAACCGGTCAGGGTTGAATTCCTGGCACTGGCAGAGTTAGACTGCAATGCTGCATTCTAACACAGTGCCACTACAGTGCCTATAAAATGTTAAAACAACTTACAGCTTGCTGCAAAGGGGGAACCATGCAAACATGCAAAAATATAGTTGGCTAAATTTCTCTATATTATTAATTTCAAATATCCAGATGCAGAATTTGTAATAGGCAGTGTGGGATAGGAGTTAAAGGACTGAATTAGCATCAGGTTCAAGTCTACCCTCAGTCACAGAAGCTCTCTGTCCCTCAGTTACACTAAGCACTGTATATGTTGCTTTGAGCTTGTGAAGTAAGGAATGATGTAAGTCTAACAAATAAATAAACCAAAATCTAAAGCTATTCTAACTTTTGTTTTGAACTGCAAAAGGCAGGGGGAAAAATAGCAGCTTTCCCCAAATGACTCAGGCGCAGTGTTCTTATGCTAACTGACTGGTTGTGATTTTTAGAAACAGAATCTGAAACATTTACCATGACAAGCATTTTTGATGATGACGATGATGATGATGATACAATGATTATTACAATGCTAGCACTAAACATGTTAGTGTTTTTAAAAACAACTGAACACGTGGTACTTGCCATCCATAAATCTCTGAATGTGCCTGAAAGTGGCTACCATGAAACTACCCAACTGCCCTGTGCAAACACAGGTTGAAAGAATACTTTTGGATGACTTTTTAGAACATGACTAGCTGTGTCACATCTGCGATCAATATTATTTTATTTCTAAAGCAATATGTCATTTCCAGCTTCAAATCAAAACAGTACCTCAGATGATATATATACAATACAGAGGAACACACATACACACACCTTCCTAGGGGCCCCTCCTCCTTTTCAACAAAAAGGATCTCAGGCTGTCACATGAAGAGTGCATTTTATAAAGAGGTATTTAGCACCTCCAGATGACCTCCAAGCAGAAATGCATCATGCCATTTAAATTCTGCCTGTCAAATACTATGAAAAAGATTAAGTAAATATAAATGCCATTAAAGGGAGAAGTTATCTTAGTTGGACAAGTTTGAGCGTTTTGAATTCTGACAGCTTCCAATTTGGATGCCTTCCAATGTCAATAAAACTTGTTCAAGCAGAACCTTACCTGGTTTTCACCACATCGAGGGGATGCATCAGGCAAATTTCTACAAGACCTGTAAGATGATAGAAGAGAGAAACCTGGTAAATATATTTGATCTCTACAACTATTGAAGTATCAAATGTTCTAGTGCTAAGCATGTTTAGCATGGGAAACAAGGATAACACAAAAGCTTGGGTCTTCTTCTGAGACAGTCAAGTTTTGAGGGGAAATTAAGCCTTGAGTAAAAACAGTATTGAAGTGTTAAACTTGAGCCAAGACATTACAGGATTGAAATTAATGATCTCTCATTAATTCCAATATATTATTTCTCTGCAGCAGTGCCACATCTGCAGTTTTGGAATCTTAGAATACTAAGGCTAAGTGTTAGAATCTTGTGGTTCATAGGAAGGGGGCAAATGATGAAACTTAGGTTGCAATAACACAATACATGCTATGAGATTTATTTACCTGCATGCAGTGTCAGAATGCAGGTACATAAAGCTGGGTTTGTGTTGTGACATTATGAGATATATTTCATCATTGTTACATAATCTGTTACTATTCATAATCGATTTCTCTTTGGTCTGATGCTAAAAAAAACTGGTTAAGTCAAGTGAATTGCACTGGGTATAAGATGGACTATAGCAGTGGTTCTCAACCTGTAGGTCGGGACCCCATTTGGGGTCGAACGACCATTTCACGGGGGTCGCCAAACAACGCAGTCTGCCATTTTTTCCCCCTTTTCCTTAGCTGTGCTACTCCCTTTTATTCTATTGGCTTTTGAAAGCCAATAGAATAGACTCTCTTGAATAGAGTCTAATTCTATTGGCTTTCAAAAGCCAATAGGAATTGTCAGGCTGTCTCTGCCCTGCTGAGCCTGCCAAAAGTCCCATTCTGCAAACGGTGCTGCACCAGTTGAGTAGTCCTTGACTTACGAGCGGTTGAGTAGGCCTCGACTTACGACCGGTTGGGGGTCGCGACATTAAAAAGGTTGAGAACCACTGGACTATAGTATTAGGTGGATGGACTACAGTATTTAATTGTTCCTCCACAATTATTTTCTTAACCTGATCAATACGTTGCATTGACCAGTAATGGAGCACCTACTTTTCAACGTGATCCTCCTCACAATCTCATCTGTGTCCAGGATTCCTGTTCCTCTCCCTCTTCTTTGCCTTACATAGTGCCAGCCTTCTGAACTGTATCCAACTATATAGTATTTTCTGATTCTTACTCTTAACCACAAGGGTGCTTCTACCAGCAGTTTGTTCAGTCCAAATCTCTTTTTTGTATGAGAGTATTTGGAATTTCCCAAAGCCTACTTTAATAATAAATATAACATCTCATGAACATTTGGTATAACATTTGTTATAATTTTCTTAGCTTTCTCTCCTCTTCTTTTCTTGCAGGCATTTTTCCAACAAATAAATCAGATGAATTCCACTTCCATTGGTAGCAAATATATTTTGGTAACTTCAAAATTTTATCTGCTTTTCTGTTTCTTAAAGAATAAAAATCTCTTCTTTGTTCTCATCATTTAATTACATAGTAGTTTTGTCTAGTTAGTTCATTTCCCAAGACAGCATTCTCTGCATAATAGCCAAGAATATGTATGCAGATATGGAAGAAGGGAAGATGGATGGAAAGAGGGAGGAATGGGAGAGGCAAGAAGGGAGCAAAAAGAACATAACCAGAGCAACTGCAAGAGTTATAATTAAACTGATAAAATTCAATATATATCCCTTATCAATAATAATAATAAATTCTATATTACCATTTGAATAATATTTGTCCACAAAATATGATGATTATGATTAGCTGAATTTCTGACAATTTGAAAAATAGTCCAGGACTTTAAAGGTGTGCTATTCTCTTACATAATATTGAACCTGTCAGCTTTGAAGACTCTTTTTAACATGTGATCATCAGTATAACTATAGCTTATTGACCAGCATAACAGAAATAACAGAGTTGGAAGGGACCTTGGACCATAGTGCAACCCCCCTGCTTAAGCAAGAGACATTATAACATTCCAGACAAATGGTAGTCTAATCTCTTCTTAAAACCCTCCATTGAAGGAACACCCACAACTTCTGGTGGCAAACTGTTTCACTGATTAGTTGTTCTGAGTTAGAAAATTTGTCCTTAGTTCTAGGTTAAATCTCTCCTTGATAAATTTCCATCCATTACTGCTTGTTGTGCCTTAGCTGCTTTGGAAAATTGGTTGACCATTTCTGCTTTGAGACTGCCCATTAAATATTCGATACCAGTCTTCTGTGAATAATAGAACTTGAAACTGAAGCCATATTGTACAATCATGGGCAAGAGTAGTAAATAATAGTGGTAGCAGGTTGAGAGGAGAGACACAGATCCAGGACCTTAATTATGCATGTTCATTAAAACAAGGAAAAAGTCTGCACTTTTTTCATCCAGATCTCAGTCAAATTGCTGAAATAGAATTTGTGTTTAAAACTGCTTTCAAAGATAAGGAAAATGCAAGTGAAATTTGCATGGGTGGACTAAAGTGCTTTTGCATTTATTACTTATGAAGTATTTCAGGGATGTGTATAAATATTATTTTTGTCGATCTATAGTTTCCCTGTCATCCCATGTTGTTCTTAAAATCTAGCGCTTGACTTTGTTGATTGTGGGAAATGTGGCCAACCAGGAAGGGTTCAAAATGACAGAAAATATGTAACCAAAAACAACACTATGAGTAGTAGGGGGAGGAGAGTCATGTCATGCCAACATTACAAATGATGCAAATCATATAATCTTTATCATTTGCATGACAACATTGTTATCATTGTGACAACCATTGGATGTCTAACAGTAGCAACCTCTACAACCTACAACAATAAAATAAGCTCAAAAATATTACCAAGACAAATTTGAATGAAATTCTCAAGAATTCTTAGAAAAGTAAAGAAAAAAAAGAAATCTCTTTCATAAAACCATAACAAGGCAGATTTCAGTAAATCACTAGAACAAAGAGCCTTTGAATATCAATAATAAATGTACTCAGGAAGAGGAAATTTTCTTCCCCGCAATTGTTAGCTATAGATTTCAACCTGAAAAATATCTAACACAATTCAATTGTTGGTTCTTTTATATAGTGGAGTTTGTGTTGGTTTAAGTAGCATGTATTGATTGGAGGGAATGTTTCTTCTTTAATTGGCATGCTATTTTTTATTGCTTACAGCAAATATTAGATGCTGGTTCTTGCTTACTTGGCTGTTGGTTAATAGGTGTGTGACAAGAGAGGATATGGTCAGGCCTGTTTGTCATTTTCTTTGACTTTTGGTTATTCTTTCTAAAAGATTCATTAATAGGGTTCATTTCAGAATGACATCAGAAATTATTTCAACAGACAGATAAAAATAACTCTTTTAGGTGAAAAAAAGATGAAAACCAAGCTTAGAGAACATCAAGAACCCAACAAATCAACCCTGAGCTATATTTATTCTCTACTATTGCAATTTACATCTGTGTTTGCCAAAAGAATCATTTGTGTTTCTAGAATAGCATTTTCTCTGCCATATTAATTTTCTACTTCCAGTTTTGTGGGTGTGAGTTTATGGCTCACATAACATCCATTGCTAGTTATTCTACCAAGTTGAGGCAAGATGGGCCAGTGTTAGCAGAGAGCCTCTAGCAACCACTGAGTTTCTCTGGGTTGTGTGCCAGGTTGTAGGGAAACTGCTTAGAAAAAAATCTTCCAGCCAAAACATTACAATAATATCCTTTGCAAGAGAAATAGATAGATAGATAGATAGATAGATAGATAGATAGATAGATGGATGGATGGATGGATGGATGGATGGATGGATGGATGGATGGATGGATGGATGGATGGATGGACAGGTAAGTAGATAGATAGATAGATAGATAGATAGATAGATAGATAGATAGATAGATAGATAGATAGATAGATAGATTCTGCACATTTTGCAATGCCTTCAGGAATGATACCCATTCAGGTTACAGTCTTTACCCTCTATGTGTTGTTCAAATCAGGTCATAGGTGCTGGGAAGAATGAAATATGCAATGCATTGCAATACCCCCACCCCATGAATCCCTTATTGCGGAAAACATTATTCACCCTTTTCAATGTGTTTTTCTTATTTTCCTGGAATAAGATAGTCACAGAGGAAGCAGAACACAATGGAAATTTGCTCATAGAGAGAAACACATGTCAGGCACTGTATATTACATAGCTGGAACTATACATATTTGTTTTGGCATTTGGTTGCATAATGTCAGAGTATACAAAATAATAATAAATATTGAAATATGTTCCTTGCCTTGCCTTATAAAAATACATCTGATTGTTAAACTGCTACATATGAACTAAGTATTAATTATTAGGTCTTGATTTATGAAAAATAAAGCTTTTTAAAAAATGATTTTCTGTCAAAATCAACACCTTCGCTGCCAAAAGACTGCTATGTTACTTGACGAACGCTTGAAACCCTGTGAATGTTTCTGCTGTTTATAAAAAAGGTTTCATTCATAATCCAAATATGAAATAAAATAGATTAAACAATTAAGACTACTTTATAGTTTCTGCAACATTAAAATGCCAGTTCAAATGCATGCTTGTAAATTTAAAACTTTTCTTCTTCATGGCAATGAGATATAATTCTACAGCAGCATTAGATCTTCCAAATAGCACATTTTGTCTGTTTTTTAAAAAACTTTAGTATAAAAATAGAATAACAGTATAAAAAAACTATTCTCATCCCTATGTTAAACTTAAAGATGCAATTAGTAATACATACAGGTTGTTCCTGACTTACAATAGTTAGTTTAGTGATTGTTTGAAGTTACAACGGCACTGAAAAAAGTGACCATTTTTCACACTTACAGCCTTTGTAGCATCCCCAAGGTCATGTGATCAAAATTCAACTGACACATTTTTACAACAGTTGCAATGTCCCGGGATCATGTGATCACCTTTTGCTACCTTCTGACAAGCAAAGTCAATGGGGAAGCCTGATTCACTTAACAACCATGTTACCAATCTAATGTCTGCACTGATTCACTTAACAACTGTGGCAAGGGAACTTGTA